GCACTTGGTTACAAGGCAAGGCAAGCACAGGCATGGGAGTGCAATCACATTCTTTTGTTGGCTACATCAAATGAGGCTGCTGTAATAGACTGACTGCCTCAGTGGGGTTCAGATGGAGCCGGGAGTAGATAGCGAGATGGGAAAATAACCCATAATGCAGGCCTTCTGCCAGCAGCGCTGTCGCTTCCTCCTCCATGTCTCCATCTAATGACAAAAACTCTCCTGTGCCAAGATTCACAGGTAACAAAAGAACTCTCTCTCTCTGCTCTCACTCATCTTGTCCGTCCCATCATTTCTTTTCTCTGTCTGTCACCCTGACCAAATGATTTCCCTCATTTTGGAAATTTGTTAATGGAGCAGAGTTGGTGCCCCGGGAGGGAGTTACAAAATGTGTCAAAGCTGATCAAGCAAAGACGGGACAATGAATGAGAGTGGTCAGTGAAGAGAAAAAAGAATGCTTCAGCAGTTTGAACACAGGTTGAAAAAACACTACCATCAACACAAATGCTCACCCGTGCTAAAATCTCACTTTTCCCTTGTGTTCAGACACAACACAATTACTTCCTAGAAGGTCACGACATTTGGTAGCAACTACATTATTATCAATAACAACTGAGAATAAGAGAACAGCGGTTCCTGGCCTCCCAGATGACAGACTCACATATAATCAAAACAAACATCATTGAAACTAGAGAGCAAGGTTTTGTAATTGTGTGTAATCAATTTACAGTCCCCACAGAGATTGTTAGACTGAACCTAAGAACTTTTTGAAGGCATTAACCTCGGATAAAGGCTGCAGCTGGGCAGCAAAGCCGAGATTTGTGGTGACATCAATTATATTGTGATTGAGGCAGGTATGGATTTGTGGTGCAACTATCTATAAGAGGTTCAACGAAGGGATCAGTGTAGATCTCACAACCGATGTTACTGTACTGTTTTATATCTCCTGTGAGTAATCTTGGCTTGTTCATTCTGCTCTACTAAAAGCTAAGCTGCTGGCTTCTCAACTGTTAAACTGGCAACATCAAGCCAAGATGATCCCATCAGTTATCCTTTTATTTATTATCCTACACCAGTAGTCATATTACAGAAGGACAAGACATCTGCGTTAACAAGACAGCAATGCCAGCAGCTCTGTGTCGCTGTAGTTTGAGCTAAATGCTAACACCAGCATGCTAACATGCCCACAATGTCAATGCTTACATGCTCATGTTTAACGGGTGTAATGTTTACCACGTTAACTGTCTTAGTTTGCATGCTAACATGAACTAATTAGCAGACCTAGCTGAGGCTGATGGGAATGTCATTAGTGTTGTTTTGTATTAGATTTTTATTTGGTTTCACTTCATTTTCCAACAGCTCATAACAAAGGCAGACTTTAACCCAAAAGTACAACATGTGGGAGCTTTTGGTTCAAATTTGACAAAGAAAGTTGTACTTGTATTTTTCTGACAATTTTGGCCCGCAAAAGTTAATATGCTTGTAATTTAGCTTTGTGTACCTTTAATAGGGCTTGCAGTGGGTCTGCAAATCTTATGTAACAACCAAGTGGAAACAGGGCATCGTGCAGAATGAGTCTGTTTTCTGCAAGGAGCCTGAACATTAAGGTGACAGTCAGGTTCAGTGATCACAGAGAACATAATGACCCTTGCAGAAAAACAAACATGCTGATCCATCATGAGACATACAGCTGTAATTAGTGGGGAGCATCTTGGGAACACCTTATACACTGTTGTCCTGGACTAAAGGGAGTGGAGGCACATTTGGTCACTTACCTTGACGTACTGATGAACACTAACAACGTCTCTGACAGGTCTCCAGTTCCTTTAGCTTTATAGATACATAAAACATGATTAGACTCTAATCTGTGATTTAATAAATGCATCTTTCATATCTGACAAAGATTTACACACACATATTCAAATATATTTACAGGATTTTTGTGAGTGCTTTGACTCCCTTTCCACAACCACTACTAAACTGAATTTTACAGGCGTAATGTAACATTACCTAGGTCAACATAGGTCACACTGACCAGACTTACTTTGGTGACCACATTTTTATTCCACCCAATACTCTGCAACCGACCAAATGGGATGTGTGATTATTGCTACCAGTAAAGCAACAGTGATGCACTCCAACCTTACTTTCACTGAAAACAAAACAATTTGCAAATGGTCATGGTATTTTGTGGGGATGTAATAAAGTAGATAGACAGACTAGCTGGCCATTTTAAGATATTTAATTTGGGATAAAGTTGGTTTACAAAAAAAAATGTCAGTTTTGTAAATTATAGAAAATCACCTTAGCCAGACACTGACATCTCACAATGATGTTTAAGTTAAATACTTGTAGCATTGTAATAAAGTGGGTAGTGATTTTGAAAATGTCAATATGATTGGTTAAACATAAATCATTTAACTTAAATTCTTTTTCATCATGATTTCACTTTTATTTGTAAGTAGACTATTACACATTATTATTACATTGCGGCACCTACAAAGGACAGTAGTTGTAGGTTGTGGAGCCTGAACAGAAAATGCTGAGACACTTGAGGCCACCAGGTGTCAGTGCAGACTCATAACACACAGTCCTGTATTTACATTAAAAAGGGTTCAGTATAGTTACTTATTTTATTGGATTCTGGGTATTAAAACTTGCCTTTGTCAAACGTTTGAGATTACTTGGTGATATGTTATAAACTCTTATCTCTAAAAAAATTTGGCTCCATAGGAAGATGGTATTTTTTTGCAGGCTCACTGATAAAGCTCCACAGTTCCTTCACAGCCTGCTTTCATGAACAGGGCAGCTCTGTGACACTGTGCTTATCAACAGCAGGTTTGTGGTTACAGTATGTCTGATACGTGTCACAATCAAGATTTCTGCTTAGGAGATGAAAGTGTGAGTTTATCCTGCTGCTCTATTTACAGAGGTGTGACAAACACACAGGCTTAGAGTATTAATATAATATAAACACACAAGACTGGAATATTAGTAATGGAAATCCAGAATTTGGGGATTACGTTAAGGTTTATTCTTTAAGTAATATACAAGAATTTGTTATATTTTGCACAGTTTAAGGTGGTGTTTGAGAATAACCAGCCCTGAAACTGTTGTAAACCTGCATTAAAACTTTATGGTCTGCAAGACTTACTAAGAGTTGCATTAGTTGCAGTTTTGTCTTGAATGCTGCTGGAAAATCACATAAGGGATCTGGCAAAATTCATTCAGAAATTTCAAATATACTGTTACATGTGAGTATATATGAGTGTTATGATGTTCTGTTGAATGCTATGATAATCTAAACATGTAAATGTAAGGCACATTGTTCTTATTTGTGCTATACAAAAACATTATGAAACCACTATTTCATATCAGTTGAAAATGGATTTTTATCATATTTTCAAAAACAGCACACACAGGTTTGTGACACAAACAGCTTGAAAGAATAGTCCAACATTTTGAGAAATATGTTTGTTGCTGAGAGTTAGATGAGAAGATTGATGCCAGTCTCATATTTGCACGGTTAGCTTAGCAGGAAGAGGTGCTAGTGGGTGGACTGGACAGAGCCAGGATTGATATTTCCCCAATGTTTCAAGTCTTTTTGGTAAGCTGAGCTAACCGGCTCTCAGCTCTAGCTTGATATTTGACGTCTGAGCGTATCCCAAAAGGTAGAACTATTCCTTTAATCAGGGTTTGGTCAATTTAAATTCACCAACTCTAAAAATAACAACTGACATTGATAATGTTGAATGTATAAATATACCAAGAGCCTAAATATATAGATCTCAATTTTGCCCAAAGCAACTCAGAATAATTGTTTATCTCCTCAGGTTTCCTAGGACAATGAAAATTATGGTGTTGCCTCGAGCATGTTTAAGAAAGCAACAGCAGACTCATTTGCAGCCAGCTTGTCTTTAGGAGCCTTTAAAACCCTACCTTTTTACCTGAAGCAACAGTAATTGGTGTGCAGAGCACACAGCGCAGATCTCAGGAGCAGCCAGTGCACTTAGCATGACACCCAAGCACTGCATGGGCTTTTCTCAGAGCACCTGAGAGCATTACAACATTAAAATTCCACCTGAGTGCAGGTGTACGTGGTAATATCTGAATGAACACAGGAACAGCCAGCAGTCAATTCCTTTTTTTGCAGCCATCTCTGCAGGACAGCACATCTTGAATTCTGCAATAGTCTTACTGCTCCCCATACCCTGGAGATACAGTTGGATAGCACAGTGTAATCCCTTGCGAACAACCAGCTCCCATCTGTATGCTGAAGAGGCTGAGATAGAAGCCTATGGGTCAGGATTGAAGAGGCTGCTCAGGACACTTTGATGTAATCATTTGTATCAGTATTATAGCGGCTGAGTTGCTCTGTAGTCAGGGGGAGTGCCTTTGAGGGCTTGTTCTGACATTTGGCTTTAATAACAGGACAAATCATGGCCTAGAGTATCAGACACATGGGCTTTTCTGAAGGGCCATCTGTTGCAGAGCAAGAGAACAAAATAATATCTTATTAACATGCCCCTTTAATCTGCACTGACTCTAGATATGATTTAGGAAGATTATATTTACACCTGATTTTTAAATGAATTCTAAGTGTGCACAATGAAATCGGATCAAATGACTACGCTTGTCCTGTTTGTGTCTCAAACATCTTATTTCAGTGAACAAAATGTCTAGTTGTGGTTTGAAAATGCATCATATTTACATTTTTAGCAATTTTTTTGTCTATTTGCCAAATATGTTTTTGACTTGAGTGATCACTTGCTAATTTCTTCTTGGATTTTCTTTGACTTTGGACTTTGAACTTGTTTGGTGTTAGCAGACTCCATTTATAAGCTAATGTTAGCTAGTGTTGCACACTGTTGACATTGTAAGGAAACAGAGAGAGAAGGCACTCAGAAGCGTGTCACATGCTTTGGATTTTAGCAGAAAATCCAATCCGTTTTCCTTCATAGTAACGCATAAAATCGCATAAATTAGTCCAGGACATCGGGGATGGTCTAATTTCTTAAGTTACGTTACAACTTGTTCACACATTGGTAATAAAAATGGATTTATACATTAAATAATACATAAAAAGCTTTAGAATATTACATATGGAACCTTGTGATTAAGCCTGGATTCCTCACACGCACATTAACCTCTTTCTGTGTAAGGTGCCAACGACATATACAAGTATACCAATAAGCAGTATTACTACATTATGTTTTACTTTTCTGTAAAATCTTGAATTTATTGCAGTATACTCCAAAATTTGTGATATATACATCGCCTACTGCAATGTCATGTGGGTTTGTTCTGTTACTGACATATTGGTTGCCTCTGGCACACTTTCTTCTCTGTATTGTGAATACTGTATTGTTGAAAGTGGGTACATAAATCTCTAGAAATATCACAATCAGCTTTGAAAACGCACTATGTTTAATTTATGTGTGAAGCATAAACTTCTCAATGAAACAGATCATGTCACATTCTCAGAAACAATAAGGTCATGACCTCATTGTCCTCAATGAATCTGTATTCAGTTTTATGAAGATGAATCAATCATACTGCAGTTATTGCAGTGGTGTGTTGTCTCATTGCCTGTCTCCTCCCTGACCGATTGAGTGTTATTAAAGCATCTTTACACAAAGTAAAAAACACACTTGAGCCAAGCTCCATGGCTTTGATTCCAGTATGAAATTCATCCTATTATAGTTACACTTCCCAAACATTGTCGAGGCTTTGTGCTGCTATTATGCAATGATCCCATTCTGCCAAGCTGCTTAGGCAGTAGGCAAACAGCCACAACAGTTGCTTGTTCTGTCCTACTGCTGTCTCCTGCATTCATATCAGCCAGAGAGGATGCATGCTGGAAACTGTCCACACACATATTCTACACTTCTGGGCATCGTCTCTGGAGTGAATCTCAGGATCCAGCTAGAACTGGAGCATATGAGCTGTTTGTGCTGGTGATGATGACAGCAGCGGGCTTCCAGTCTGGCTGGAAAAAGTGGATGCTTAGGGTTCGAGCCCAGTTTGCAAACACCGTCTTCTCTGTGATGAAGCGGTGGTGGCTTCCTCGTCGGCTCCTCTCGTGGGAGAGGTACATGGAGCACTCGTCGGGCCCAGAGGGCTCATAGTAATGATACGGCACAGAGGGATGGGAGGAGGATCTACACAGGAGACGGGGAGAGGAGATAAGAAAGGAGTAAAGCATGAAAAGGCATGAAAGTCAAAGTGTGAGGGAGGGATGTGGAAATAGAGTGCAGGGATAATTATGAGATGAGGGTAGGGGGAGAGGGGGGAGGAAGCGATTCACAGTGGGGAAGAAAATGGGGACCGGAACAAAGAAAAACAGGAAGATCAGAAGAATCTGGCTTCACAGATATGTTCATTATACAGCATCTTATTCCTCTGAGACCTGCAGTCACACCAAGCTCGGTGGAAGACTCAGACACACAAGAGTCTCGACTGAATTTCTCTGTGAATATCCAAATGTGTCAAACTGTCCTTTGTGCCCTTGTAGATTCAGGTGAGAACAACACTAGCCGAATTATTCTTGTATTTCCAGTGAACCTGAATGTTGCATATTAAGCAGCCGCACTTTGCATCTATTCAGTGAAATGTCTTATTTTTACTGTAAATGTCAAGATGAACATTTCTTTCTCCGAAATTACAGTCATTCACTTGCATGACTGCGTGGCAATATAAGATACTTGAAGCTGTCACTGCAGGGAGTAAATGTTATATTGTCATTACTAGTTGAAGACGCCATTAAAGATGTACTAGACAAGATTTTTATGTGGAAACACACCCATGTTGTCAGCACACACTAAATCTGGAGCTGCAACAGAAGAGAGCATCCCATCCGCGCTCATACACTATTTGCCCCAGTTGCTCAAACAGTAAGTGACAAACTGAAAATGTAAGGCTTGAGGATAAGGGATTTCAATGTTGCCTTGGATGTATAATTTAACAATTTAACATATGAACAGAATGTTACAGAGAGTGACTTCTCAAAGGTTCTTGTGCATAATGTTATCCTGTCAAAATGTTCTATTATTTGTTATCATTTTCCTGGTGTGCCATGTTCTTAAATGTGTGAAATAAAAGAGTAAAAAAAGCTTTTTGGCCATTTGTTAAAAATTAGCAAATAAAATTGAGAATTATATTGAAGGTTGTTTATCTATAATAATAATAAATCAGGTAAGGTCATCTTTTTTCATTTCATTAAAGCTCATGTTCCCTTCAAATGAAACCTGTGAGACAATATTTTTTTTACCTGGCTTTGAGGTGTTTAAAGTCATGTGAACAGTGTTGCTAGGAAACTGACAATAAAAGCAGATATTTCCTCGTTTCTTTTTCAAAGATAAAGTTAATAATTTTGTGGGGGGTTTTTGCATTTTAATGTCAAACATAAATTGATAAGAAGAAAATGAAAATAAGATATAATATAATATAATAATATTGATTTTATAGGCTCAAACATTTATAACCACATACATCACAGCTTGTGAACTCTGAGCTTTCACTTAGAATTTTTTGCATATATTATATGTGTTGTGTTCTTTCTTTAATGTATTTTAGTATTTTTTGTGTTCTATTTATCACCTGGCTGCAAAAAAAACCTTCAGGGATAATAAAGTTAAAGCTGCTTTATAAGCTGCTGCTATAAAAGGAAAGTGAATATCTGACACTCATGCAGGTGGCCAGACTCCATATAGAAGTAATTTTTTTCCTCTGCATCTATAATAAGTATAAATAAGTCAATAAACTAACACATTTTCCATGTGAATTTAAAAGATGGTAACATGTTAGTGTCGTGTTCTCAGCTCATCTCCAAGTAGCCAAAAATCATGCAAGTTTAAAGCTGATGTTGTTCAAGTTAAAGTAGAAAGCATATCCCTTTGGCACAAAATGACAGACTGGCCTGTTAAGCAATTACAAAATTATGTGTGTGGTTTACCAATAGCACATAGAATTGGTATTATGGTATTTGTAGCTTCCTACTTAGGCGTGAATTTGAATTAATGCTTTGCACCTAAATTCTTGGATTAAAAATGATCATTTTCTACCTGCAGAAATCAGGTGGCACCATGCCATACACGTTGATCCTGTCACACAGCTCCAGGGCTATGGCCATGGTGAACCAGCCGGTACTCAGCCAGGAGTTGGAACTCTTCCTGAAAGACAAGGGAAGGTCGCCCTTTTTAGTAAATCCACACTCATGTAATGCAAATATATGGGAGTCCTGGCTCCTTGCAAGAGGAGACTATGTTAAAGATATGAACCCATAATTCTATATTTCACCTGAGATCACCAGAGATATATACAGATGAAGGTAAAAAGACCTTGCCTTGTACCCAACAATAAACATTATGTCCATGACATTCGTTCTGACACTGACTATACTTACACTAAGGCTGTAGTGACTGGATTTTCAATTCAAATGCCAGTCCTCTTATCTTCCTGTTGGTTTACTGTTCACATGCAAATGAGTTTATGAATGGCTGGTATGACGTGATGTCTTTATCTATGTGGTTCTTAGTTTGTAATCTCATATTCAGTCAACCATTTTTTATGCAGCACACTTACTTGTCCCTCATATGAAAAGTGGTATGCCAATTTCCTTTATATTTATTTTGATGAAATTTGCTCTGTGCCACACAAACCAAGCCAAATCTCAGTTGAGAAGTGGAGAACAGTTTCTGCAGAGTGTTATTATGAATATAACATCTATAATGCACTATTAATGTCCTGTTGTTGTTTTGTAAGTTCTGCCTCAAAGTGAGAATAGCTTGACAGCTGTGGTACTTCTGTGCATACAGATCCTGATGCTGTCAAGCATGAGGCAGTGTCTGTTTGGACTCAACATCCAGCCACTCCTCATCATCACTGTTTCAATAGGAGTTCAGATACGGCCCAACATTTGTATTTGTCCTGTGTGTCTTATTTATTTAACTAACTAGTTTCTAGTTTAGTTAGTAGTAACTTACTCTCAGTAAATAATTTGTCAGTTCCCACTCCAAGATACTGATTTTTGCTTGCTCACCAAATTGTTTTCTGCTTATGACTGGAGAAACATAACGCTTCAGGAAGAATTCAAACGATGAAAATGAAATAAAATGTGTTTTCTCTTTCTGATGTTGAGTCATTTCCTTAAATGTCTTACTAAATGGTAGCACTACTTTGCAATAATCATCCCTAAGCCTGGCATTAGTGGGACAACTTTGGACTTTGGGATGAATCAAATCCCTTGAAATCCTTCCAGATATAAGAAACAAGTTTTAATATGAATCCTATTAATAATGCTCTAGTGTTCAGAACTCTACAAACATATTCCTTAGTGAGCATTGTATAAGCTGAAGACATTTTTTTGTTTTTGCTTTTCACACACACAAATTTTCATTGTTTGTCTTAGTAAGGTAAAAACAAATCTCAAAAAGGCAAAACAAATCTCACAAAGAAAGGACTGATTCTGTGAACATTTACCTATCAATCCCTGTTTCCTTTTTAAATAGTTCATCAAACTTCAGCATTTTGATCCGGGAAATGACGTAGATTTTGAGTTTCGGCAGAAGCTGTTTAACCAGCCTGAGGTTGTTGTAAACATGGCCTTTTCCATCCCGTCTCATGCAACTGCTGGGTCCCCAGAAGATGAACACCGTGTCTTGGCTCGCGTTGAGAAGCTCCTGCCGGCTCCGCAGAACCCTCTGCAGGCTGGAGTGAGCGACGACACGCAGGCTTGTGCGCTGGCCAACATCCTGCTGGTAGCCTATGCTGGGAGCATCATTCATACGGATTACACACTCGGAGCGGTCGATTTCTTCACCTCTCTTGCTCCCGGTTAGATGGCCGGAGCTGGTCACCAGGGCGCAAGTCCTGCAGTGCATCTTCAGAGGCTGTGGAGGTGAAGTTTTAAAGGTCAGTTTCATTAAGAAAATACAGAAGACAGGCTGTGAATTTTAATCAAGAGTATAGTCTTATTAGGCCATTACATTTCTCTAGAGAACAAGTTTATTTTTCTGCCACTAAAAACCTTTAAAAGATTATGATATTACATATTCTCAAGGGTAATATAAACATGCGAACATCAGGTCTACATACTAGCATGCTCAATCACAACAATGATAATGCTAACAGATGTTTAGCAGGCATTATATTATCTATGGTCCCCATTTTAGTTAAGTGTGTTAGCATAGTACTGGACACATTACGACTTGCACGAAAAAGGTAAAGTTAAGGCATCAGAAAAGTTATAATTCATCCCTAGAGGGAACAGGAATTTCTGTGCAAACCTCACATGGAAATCCATCCAATAGTTGTCAATCACTCAAAACCAAATCAACCTCATGGTGCAGGAATGAAAGTCAGAAAGACTGATATTGCCATCCAAAAGTATAAAGGTCGCAAAAGGGATGAATCTGCAACCTGTTGCCTTCAAGGTCAAGTCTTAGTTGCAGAGATCCCTAAAATCTGTCTGCCAAGAGGAAAAAATATAAAATAACCCTGAATGAGTCTGTACAACAGCACACATAGAGAGCCATGACAAGGGCACTTTCCTCAGGCTTAATATAAAGCAACTCTGAAAAAGCAGCCAAAACTTTGGACTGCCAAGCTTTTTAGATTTGTATTCACAGGTTAATGTAGTTTTTCCATCAAGCACACACACAATGATAACTGAATACGATCTGAATAAAGTGTAACTGGCACAGAATCGAGCAGCTAGACTGGTAATGGGCTTTTCTGTCAGGTATCCTATTATTCAAATGCACCGCAGATTAACAAGGATGACAGTAGAGCAAAGGCTATTCTGTGCAGCACTTTGATTTTTTAGGAAAATCATGAATACACATGAGCCTGTACATTTATTCAGTCAAATAGCCTCAGAGCAATGCTCTCTTCCACAAAACAAGGAATGCATGTAACGGTCAGAACATTATGCCTTATACAAAATCCACTTCACTCAGAAGATCATTCATGTACGACGGCTTTGGTAGTATGTATTGCAGGGTTGTTGTGCTGGTTTGCATTGACCAGGTATTCATGTTGTTGTGTCTAACCAGGTTTTCAAAGTTGAAAAAGGCGAGCTCAGATTGAATGATCTGACAGCAAAAACCCAGAGACTCTTCACATGAATTATTCCCCACCTTAATAGAGGGGTTTCATTGGCATTCTGAACTGTGCTCCAAGCTTTACACTCCATCAGGTTCTGAGGTGGGAATGTGTGTTCATCTGTGTGTGTGTGTGTGTGCATACAGGTGATATTACCAGCGCCACAGGGTGTGCTGCTCCCACTGCTATATTTGTAATACTCTTCCACTATCTCTGTAACCCCACACTAAATGATTGCCCTGTGTGTGTGTGTGTGTGTGTGTGTGTGTGTGTGTGTGTGTGTGTGTGTGTGTGTGTGTGTGTGTGTGTGTGTGTGTGTGTGTGTGTGTGTGTGTATTTGTGGTTCTTCATCTGTATGTGTGTGTATAAGTGGTAGTGGTGTCCTTAAATCTTTGTGCAGAGCTTGATGTGGCTGCAGATATGTAATACACTCTGGCAACTGTCTAAAAAGTGTCTCCATATAAAAACAACAACAGTAATCCTGTCCACACACACACACACACACACACACACACACACACACACACACACACACACACACACACTGATCACAGACTCTATGCATTGAGGAACAGGTAATTCCATTCCCCCATCACGTTGCCCAAAACAAGCCATTTCCTGTTGGAGCATGTTTGCACTCTCTGTACGCAGACCTCCTCCCTCAATAACAGGTAGGCTGGAGTGAATTACACGCTTCACTGCACAAGCTCACCCTCCCTGCCTTAGCTGGGAAAAATCACAGCGCTTTTAACTCTTTCTGCATACAACAGAGTGAATTTTCCCTTCCGTACTGCCCAAACAATTACTCCCAAGCAACTTTTAAGGTTTTTGAAAGTCTGGGAATGTGTTACACTAGTAAAAGGCGATTGAAGGTTGCATAGACAGCGTAGTTTAAAGTGCCTGTGAAATAATAAAAGTGTCCTTGTCAGTGATGTTGAAGCCCTAGAGTCAGTTCCCCGAGTTTCTGACAGCTTGATGATGCTGGGGAAATAGCCACTTACAGACCGCGTATCACATTGAAAGAGGCTTTCAGAATCAGATATGGACTATTTCAGATGGCAAGCAGCTGAAGATGCAACACACGGACTATTGAATGAATGAATAAAGGAATGAGTGTAATGTATTGCATATAACAGGTAGATTTGTACCCAAAATAAATCTTGAATTAAAACAATAGCCCTTTAATTTGTGAACCAACTAGCACTTGGACACTTGCTGACTCCCACACAGAAACTCAGACTACATTTTAACATGAGGACGGAGGGCTGTTCACCTTGATTGATGCCAAATAACCGTTTTCCTGGATAAACACGATCACAAAAGGCAATAGGTTCAACCTCACAAGGCTATTCAAGGAACTCTGATGTGATGCCAGCTCTGTTCTGAAGATATCGCCACATGCATGCATCTCCACCCATCGTCTTGTGCTATTTGATTTTAAAAATCACAAACCCCCTTCTCATGTCAAGTGATTGAAAGATTCCATGTTTCATCTGATCATTTTAGGAAAATATGAACACCTTTTATGTCCTATTCTTCCATGGTCACTGGGATAAGAACAATTTAAGTGTCTAATAGTGTCCCTTATTCGTAGATATTTAAGGTTTTGTGAATGAGTTGTATCAACATATTAGCTTTTGTGTGTCTAAGTAATTTCTTGACATGTTGTGTACTACATTGACTTTTTTTTCCATGTCTGTTTGTGTATGTTGGGATGCTTCTTTTGTATATAACATGGCAAATTCAATAGTGTAAAAAAAGAAAAGAGAAAGCTGTGGTGTTTAACACAGTAGAAGAAAAAGAAGAAGAAGCAGTCAATTACCACCCACACACTGACTCCAGACTCATCAGTATGATCCTGTTTATATACTTCCCAGGGGAACCCAGGATCATAATTGCTTTCAGAGCAAACCCCATCAGTCAGCCTCTAATATTGTATCAGAGCCTCAAATGTGCCTCCAATCCACCAGCCTCTGCCTGCACCTCTTTCATTTTAAGAAGGGTAGAGAGTACAAACCTACAGGAAAAAAGACTTAACCAGGCTTTAGAGGTCATTCGTAAAAGGAACAAAAAAGGCCCCTATTGTCCCAATTAAGCATGAATTCAAAGGATAAGGCTGATGTTATTCAACATGTTTCAACAAATCCCATGAGAACATGGCTTTATCCAAATCAGCCCCTATTTACTGTATAGTAAACTATATTTGCTGAGGTTCAGCATTCTGAGAGTGAAAGTTTATCCACAGTATGACACTCTCAAAACCTGAAACAGAAAAAGTTGCATCCATGGCATGTACACTACTTTCTGCTAACAATCACACAATGCATTGCTTCACATTTTATAGATGTAAAAATTACCATTGTAACACCTGCAGTGATGATGCAAAATGGTTTGGTCTGGTTTTATTGTCATAAAACAACATAAGCATAATGCACTTGTCCACATATTTACAAAGAAAAAAAATGAGAAGAAAAAAAGAAGAAAAGCGAAACAAAGACACAAATTCAACCCAGGGACTATTTCCAGCTACAGATTTTGTGTGCTACTGAGTATTTATGTGGTGTTTATCATAATGAAGAAACATGTTTTTTGGACATCAATGGAGAGCTATGGCACAGAGGAATAAGCTATAATTAGGCTACACAGATAATACTTTTTTAGGAGGATCTATTTATTGTTGGTGTTTGTCTTTATATGGGATTTGTTGGCAATGTGAAAAATAAAGAATGTCTCCAACGTCATCCTTTAATGTTAAATATCTTCTGATATGAACATGTGAGAGGAAACATTAAGACTCTGTATTTGCCTGCAGTGGCACAAATTATTTAGATGTTGATCATTATCATAAGGGTAACTGTACACTTTCTAAAGTGTATAGAATTAGGCTAATGGCTCAGCTAAGAGCAGAGGTGGATTAAGAGGCACCTGTTGTGTGGTGTGAGGGTTTAATGCAGCTTTCTTTTCTCAGAGACCAATTAATTACCAAAATCCTCCTGACAGTTGACATCTCATTAAGCTCCTCCTGGTGGCACACATTCAAGTCGCAGTCCTAAACTTGCTCTGTTCCCAATTTGAGGGAATAAAGGAGAGATAATCAAAGCGGCTGTTTTCTTCCTCATCATCCAGTCAACCTCAGACAGAGAGAAGGGGATAGCTGCATCTCAGAAGAGGTAGCCGTGTTAGCCGATTTGATCACAATGTGGGCATTTTGATACGAGGTGTATCAATGGATTGGATTTCATTATCCATATATATATATATATGATCCAGATTGCATAATACCAGGTGTAAATGAGGCCTTAAAGTGTATGAGCATGACTACAAATTGGGCTATGTAATGTCACTCTGAGGATGACACTGGATAATATAATCTGTTCTGCCAGGGGTGCTCCCTTGCTATGAGTGGAATTAAAATTAACATAACTTATGAATTCACCCATTTAGTAAGCTGTACGTTAACGTACATACTTCACAAGACAGCCTAATTTGTAAGTTAGAAATGAGTCAGCGTAGATAGGATGCATAACTGACTTTTCAATGACACCTATTTCTCCCAGCCTTAAAGGCTGTCAGAGCCCAGAAAGGTATTGCCCATAATAAGTAGGTACATTATAAACTGGCACAGGCACACAATCCACATTCATGCTCTCACACAGGCTTTGTGATTAGAGCGTATAAAGGCCAATGTAGATTGATTCTGCTGACAGTTCTTCAAAGGTCAACATCTCTTTAACTGGAATCGGCAAAACATCAGAGGGAGAGGAGATGAGGAGTGAAGCAGAAGAATGAAGCGGTAGTCCATTTAGGTGTTCAAGCTCAAATATGTGTGTGGATGTGTGTATTTGAAAGAGTCTATTCAACTCTGCGGCTCTAATTATGGTAGTTTGTCAAAGAAATACACACTAGAGGAGGACATCTCACAAAAACCTGCAGACATTGCAGGAGGCAGACAGAAGGAAACATAATGAACACTGTGACTCCTACCCATTTTCTCAAGATATCCCACATAAATGCAGTGAAGTCTGATCTCACACTGTATAGATTTGTGGGTTTCAGCACTTGAGAATGGTCAGGCGCAGAGACAGAGAGAGAGAATGTTCTGGTGTTTTCTACAGTTTTTATACTGAAATGACTAAAGGAAAAGCCAAATGTCTGGCCTTTAACCTTCAGCCACATGAAGCAGCACGGTCTTTGTTATTACCGTGTGCTGGGCGTTTTGCGCCATCTTAGGAGAGACTTAAATGAGCGAAGCAGCCACAGACCACCACCCACCTCAGTGAAATCACAGCTCATGCAAACAAGATATGCACATAAGTTAATATGGGCCATAAAAAGGAACATTAGATAGAGCTCTCACATTTTCAAGCTTCCCTGGCTCTGATGAGGGCATAAAATTTTAACAATGCGTCTGGGCATTTGCATGGAGTTTTCTGCATGCATGCATCAGTGCTATATGTGTGTGTGTGTGTGTGTGTGTGTGTGTGTGTGTGTGTGTGTGTGTGTGTGTGTGTGTGTGTGTGTGTGTGTGTGTGTGTGTGTGTGTGTGTGTGTGTGTGTGCACACATTTGTGTCAAAGCCAAGACTTCCTCCAGCAGCAGCAGCAGTAGACCTCAGATGACCCTGAAGTACAGACTGATCCACCCACTCCACAGATCTTACAGCAGGTCTGCTCTGGTTAGTCATTCCCTGGCCCTGTCTGAGGGTGCAGCAGCATCAGAGCTGGAAGCCCCCATAAGAGAAGGGGGCAGAGTGACACTAAGAAGTATGAAAATTTCCCAGTGTGGCTCCGTCATGAATCAGCCGTCAGCCAGGAGGAGGTAGACGGCCAGGAAAGACTATGAATAATAAAGTGCCTGCACCACAAAAAACTCTAAACTAAAGCAGCTGCCTCTCATCTCTCTATGGATGAATGTTTCTTTTTCATTAACTTTAAAGGGATATGATGAGTGTTACAACATCTCAGAGGAGCTCTGAACTTAGAATCTATCAGAGTCCAGGAAGCCTCAGCCGGATCAAACCTCTCTTCACACCAACGTCACTCTCAAACTCTCAACCAACACTTTTTTCCCCCTCTCCTGCCCAGTGCTGCCCGAGCAACGTAATGTCCTTTCCACTCTGCTGTGCGTATCTTTCTCACTGAAGGGAGACATGACGCTGTCTGAATCATCTATCTATTGGAATGAGCTATCTGTAACACTGTGCTGGGTCTGAATGATAGGCCTCTGCATTACAATAACAAGGACTGTGGTGTTTATATGACCAAAAGATTATAGCAGTGATGTCTTGAGAGAAGAAATCCATCCTGTTTTAAGTGCTTTTGTCGTTGAATATTTCATGCTGGACGCATTAATTATGAATCAAGAAACCGAGTAAACTACAGAGAGAATTTAGAGATGGTACTACCACAGCAAACTCAGATTTTGAGTTCAGTATTTAAAAGATTAACTGGCATTATTATAGCCTTAGCGGGGACAATAAAGCTGTAATAAACTCTTGTTTTATTCTGAAGCGTTTACTCATTAGCAGAATATTACTGCACGATTTCAATTACCACAATGAGAGAACTTTACTGTTATTGCTAAAACGATACATAAAAATTAAAGGTAATGCTTTAAGAATGTAATGTAGTACACAAGTCAAACACAGAAAGGGATTTTTCAGTTCTCCCTCAAACCAGGCAAGTACCTGAATTCTACATTTACATGCCGGTCTCTCTGCTTCACCTGGATGACAGCAGAATACAGATTAGGTGCAGTTTGTATTACATATGTACAAAAGTGTTACAGGCTCAGTGGAATGATGAAGAATGAACACTGTGTGTAATGCAGTGACCCAATCAATGTATCAGGCAAAATTTGTCCAACGCAGAACACACATTCCAGACAAAATTCATATGACATCGCTGCTCCTTTTTTTTTGCCATTTTTTCTCTTCAGTTTGGTATTTCAAAGTCCCGCTGCCCTTGCTGCTTGGATCTCCTCTGCTGGCCTCCATGTGCTTCTTCTAAAACCTGACAGTAATGCTATTCCACCAAATCCCACTCGCCTCTCCATGCAGGCACCTAATGCACTAAAAAGAACCTGATCCCTTACCCCAAACACTCACATTGTTTTTGTTGGAAGTGCAACCACTAAAGTGAGGTTTAACCCACATCTCTGTGGTAGTGGGGGATTTCTTACTTTTTCAAGACGACAAACTGGCATCTACATAGCGGGCCCAAATAACACACCTCACACTCATCACACAAAAAGCACTTAAGCACATCCGAGCACTCCCTCTTTGATTCAGTCCCCCCCCCAACCCTTTCTTTTTTCCTCCCCTTCTATCTCTTGTTCAAATACAGAAACCACTGTGACTCTAAACGAAAGATTAGAATCTCATCACCCACTTGGTTCCCTCCCACCATCTCACCTGAACTCTTCCATCCATCCATCCATCCATCCATCGGTCCACAAACCTGATTTCTCCCCCATCCACTCATCCCTCATCTTTCCTTCCCATAATCCTTCATCCCTTCACCATCAACCCTTTCCTACAGTTTTTTACATCCCTCCTTCAACTTATGATCTTGGTTCACCTTTATCCGATATGTGCAATAAACCATTCTAATTCCATATGTTCATTGGCATTTGTCAGTGGCCTCCTTAGTAGCTTTTACATAATTTAGGCTTTATACTATAATTTGGACATGAAATAACAAATATTAAATTTTTTCAATGCGATCTTGCACCATCATCATTCTTTATGAAATTGCACAAGGAGACAGATCATCTCCCAGTGCACAGATGGAGCATATTCACCTTATGATCCATGACACCTGTGTACCCCTCAAGTGTTGATGTTGGGACTCTCTCTGGCTTCTTCGTGGAGGGACCAGGTCCATCTAAACGGTGGGGTGATAATGATGACGCCGGCGAGGAAGAAGATCTCCCACCGGAGCTGCTGTTGTACAACAACATTAAGCTGGTAACCATGGTGACGATGATGATGCCACTAACCCCTTGGCACTAGAGAAACACATGAAATAAATAAGTTCAAGAAGACCATAAAAAGCAACATGGGCGCCGGAGCTCTTGACTTAGGAAATAAGCTTCATTCTCGGTCAAGAATTCGCTGCTAATTAAATGTCAGCGTTTCAAAGCAGAAGCAGCACAATAATAACAGCTGCTCTTTCCTCGCGCAAGGCTGCAGATGAAATGTCAGCTGTGCCACTCAAATACGCACAACATGCTCTGTCAATATGTTTTAAGGAGCGGTGCAAAAAAAAAAAAAAAAAAAAAAATAGCATTAGGCTGCTGAATTCAAACATGTTTCATAATGACTTCCCTCCTGCAGAGAAAACAACCTTTAGACAGGTGCGCTCCTAAAGGGATGATGGGAGTAAGAAAGCCTATTAAGCTACTGGAAAAGATGGAAATAGAATACCACAAAAGTGCAATTAGGTCAATGACACAGTTAAACGTGTAACTTCTGAATAGAAAAAAACATTAAAGCCCCCAATCACGCACACACACACGCACACACACACACACACACACACACACACACACACACACACACACACACACACACAAATGAGCATTACAATGATGTTTCCTGTAGGTCTTCATTCATAATTACCACTCTTATCTTCATCTTCATTTCCCTACGTTTGCAGCCGCAGACCGAGCCTTCATCCTATCGGGGCCGGAGCTCTCTCTCTCTCTCTCTCTCTCTCTCTCTCTCTCTCTCTCCCTCTCTCTCTCTCTCTCACGGAGCGTCGTGGACTCTTCAGCATGCAACACTTGAGCGGCAGCATCACTGGGATCAGCGCGCAAAGAAAAACGACGCTCCACTACTCTTCTCCCATGCTTTCCTCTACAGGGACGCCCTCGCTCAACACTGCGCTCCTCATGGTCCTAAACAACTCCTACTCCCGAAGCTCAGTGTCAGGGTTCACTGGGGGTTCATGACTCGATAATTACGCACATAACATTATGATAATGTATAACACGCAGTGATACTCCGATTGAATATTAACGGGGATCTGTGGTTCTCAAATGTGCGCTTACAGCGACAGTACTCCACTTTTTTATAGGCCTGTGTATCTCTGTGTCCATATCAGTTTGCCATAATGTTCCTTTAGAGTTTTTTATTGGCACAATTATCAAATGACATGTCATTATTCTCAACAGTGTGAAACAGCTCATTTCCCCACAATAGTATGACATTTTCATTGCTATCATACAGAATCACAATTATTTTTCAAATGGCCCTGTGATGCATTCGGTGTTGATGACCAAAAATGTGTAAGATTGCTTTTCTAATGACATGTATTATTCTCAGATATGTTAATCAATTTGCTCATGGTGTAAATCTTCACATCCCAAATCTCTCCAAACATCCCTTCACCCTGTATTTCACAACTCTAGTGAGTGTTTTGCTGGTCACCACCGTTTTCTCCCACCCTTCTGTTAATTTTTCAGCCCATATGAGGATTTCTATTCTTCATAGAGACGATTTACCACGGCTTTAATTATATTTTCATACATTAGTTACTGTAAAGTTCTTACTGTATTGTGACTAGATATACAAATGTGCTCATTGACAGGGTTTGATCTGTGAATGGAGTTTTGATGAAGGATATTTGATGATAATTGTAGTAAGAAAATACAAAATGTAGAGACACAATTTCAGTGGACTCTCACTGTCATACTGGCTCAGAGCTGTTGAGTTATGCAGAGATGAAGATTCATTCATTTTGATAGCAGTGATTCACTGACTGATGATATTTTTTTAAATGTCAACATGAGTTAAATGTTTTGAGTGAGTGACAGCCGTTTAGGTCAAACGAAGTCTTGTGCTGCAGACTTACTGTTACAGTTGCACTTAATGTGTTCTCTGTGTTTCATAAAATGTGCTTCAGATACGAGAGATGTTTTTTTTAGTTGCCTTGACTGTTTTCTAATCTTATCTTTCTTGTCTGTTTTCAGAAAACAGACAAGAAAGATAAGATTAGATTAAGATTATGATTAGGGTGATAATACTGAATATACTGACAACTATTTTGGTACAGAGCATCACCTTTTTTTGTCTTCTAAGTAGATTTCTGGACATCCTATTTAAGGACAGGAAACTATTATTTGCATTTGTCACAGCAACCTGAGCAACTAAAGCTCCTCGTGGGAAACTGGATTGCTGGAGGCTGTAATCTAGACAGTAGGAGCTTGGAAATGGGGAATGAGTCTTTTTATAGACACCCTCTGAGCTGGCATCATTGTTTTCATTCTCTAATGTGTTGTTCAAGTCATTCCTCAACAAGTCTCCTTTCACAAACCGAAATGTATCCATTGGCTTTGTGGGAATTGATTAGTAATTTATCACACAAACAACAAAGAATATCACAGTCAGACCAGAGGCTGTAAGAAAAATCAGGGTAGTCTAATTAGAAGTTACAGAACAGCATGTCTTCCCTTTTATGGTTTAGGCCCAGATTTACACACGTTTCAACAACTGCCTTTTTAGACTAATAAGCTTTCCATCTGAATGCCAAATACAGTAACTTGTGTAGAATACGATGTGATGCAAGATGGCACAAGATAAAGCAGCATATTACAACACAGTGCAATGATTTGATATATTGCAATATGATGCAATATCATATGATACCACATCAAATAAAGCAAGACATATGAGAATATAATAGATACAATTTTTGTCATCTTTTTGTTGACATTAGATGATCTTCAGCCAAACATGCTTAAAGTTAGTGGTTCCCACCCCGGGGCATCACAAGGTAAACCTGCAGTGGTCACAAGATTATTAACAACGTAGGAAAGAAGATGAGAAATAATTTTCTTCTACAAAATGATGGGTTATTTATCTGGTTATTTATTTATTTTTGTGTGAAACAGTGGAGAGTTTTCACTCCAAAAGCATTTAAAATGAAACAATCTGAGAAGGCGATGTCACTCTTTGGTTGAACTCACAGCTCCTAGACACTCGAGTAGGCAACGCTTGGTTATAAAAGTGTAATATCATAGTATAACACACATTGGGACACGAAACAGAGATATAGAATCAAATTACACTATTAGCATAATTATGAGTGAGTGGGGAAAACAACATAAAAATCTTGATTGTTAAACCAAGGTTTGAATCTTCATGTTGCCTTTTTAAAAAAGCTAGATTTGTTGCAAAATGTTGGAGTCCTATGTGCAATGTTTTGATTTGATCACCTTTTGTCTCTAATATAGCCTTTGTAACCATTGTCTACTGATCCAAGCTGAGGATAATAGCTCTGAAATAGAACCTATTATAGAGCCAGGCCATTTGTTGGTTTGACAGCAATCAATAGAGTTTTAAACTCGGCCCTACATATAAATGGACACTGGTGTGAGGCTGCTAAAATGGAGATAACATTTCTTTGAGCTCTTGTTACAGTTAAAGCCAGCATGAAGGATTCAGAGTTCTACTCTTATCTGAGAAATTGCTGAAAATAGTATCTATATCTATACCTAATGGCTCTCTGTTTAGATTAATGTTGGCATTATACACGTTTATATAAAACTATGCAAGTTGGAATCATTGTAGAAATTTTGATTATGTTTATATCATTATAACTTTTCCAATTTCTCTGCCTCTTTGCTGTTTTCTTTGACACCATATGGCCATATCATTGGTAGAATAATTGTAATCACCAAATTATCTGTATCACTGAGGAGCAGTGCCTCATAATGCACCTCGTCATTGTAAATTCAGTGGATTAGCGGCTGGCAGCCTGTGTGTTTTGATTAGAAGTGTCCCTGAGGTCCCAAATGCATCTCAAAACACAACTCCAGGGAGCACACACACACACACACACACACACACACACACACACAGAAACACAAGGGCAAGGCAAATGTCTGTGGAACGCAACTTTTTTTAATTAACTCGATCCTCCTATCCAGTGAGGCGCCAGACGGCTGTCTGCCTATGCTGAGCCAAATACAATACAAGTGTGAAATAATCTGCTCTGTTTGCACCTGTTTGCTGTGCCAAAAGCTGTTTGTTTTCACCCATTACAATGTCCCCAGCTTGAAGAGTAGATGCCTCAGGGTGTCAGTAAAGAAACTAAACTCAGACTAAAACTCAAGGCATTGTGAGTATGTTCCCAAAGCTCTTAATATTACAGAGCTGATATAGTGGTACAATATATATTATTTGAGGGGGTATGGCCCTAACTCCCATACTAAAAACTAAATATGTTGTCATGTCTTCTCTAACTTGATATGGGGTTGTATTTTCAGCAGGACAGACGCTACAGAATAATAATAGAAATATTACTGGAACTTTACAGGCAGCAGTGTGTCTCTATTATCCTCTCGCCCTCCTGCGACAACACATTGCTTCTTGTCACTTTGATCATGAAGGTGACACGACTCTGTAGAGTATATACAATATAGTATAGAACTGAGTATTTATAGTGGTAGAGAATATCATAGATCCAAGAAGAAACTGACAAGACAGAGAAAAAGATTAAATTACAAATCCGTCTGCTACTTCAGCACCACAGACAGCGCTATGGATTTATAGCACTGTTAGGCTTCTGGTATTTAGATAGATAGATTGATATTCCTTTATTTGTGGGGAATGGGGGAAATTCCAATGTAACAGCAGCAAAGATGGTAGAGAGAAAAAACAGTATAAATAAACAGTAAGAGTAGGGAAATAATAAAAACACTATGTACAAAAGAATCCACAACAACAGATAACACAAATAAGACAAAATAGTAGCAGCGGGGGAGGGGGGGGTTTACTGGGAGCAGTGCTGGTTGTTAAACAGTCTGACAGCAGCAGGAAGGAAGGTCCTACGATATCTCTCCTTCACACATTTGGGGAGTCTGTCGCTGAAGGAGCTGCTGAGCGTGGTGATGGTGTCCTGCATGTGGTGGGAGACATTGTCCATCAGTGATGATAGCTTTGCTATTATCCTCCTCTCTGCATCTCCTCCTGCACTGAGTCGAAGGGGCAACCCAGGACAGAGCTGGCCTTCTTAATCAGTTTGTCGAGTCTCTTCCTGTCGGCTGCTGAGATGCTGCTGCTCCAGCAGACCACTCCAAAGAAAATGGCTGATGCCACAACAGTATCAAAGAAGGACCTCAGGAGCACTCTCTGCACTCCAAAGGACCTGAGTTTCCGGAGCAGATAGAGTCTGCTCTGGCCTTTCTTATAAAGTGCCTGAGTGTTATGTTATTTCAGAGCCATGGTCAGGGCCATAGGTTCTAACATGTACAAAACTTGCACAAACCTAAGTCAGATAAATGAGTCGGGCAGACTTCATTAACATATTCAACTAAAGAACCCCCCCCAAAAGATGACTCCTCCAAAAGAGCAATTAGACCATTGTATGGTTCTTATACTATGAATCTATTGTGTTTTAATGTAATTTATTTTCAACAATCAATGTAAATTTCAACAAGAGAGAGCAATAACTAGACTCATAGGGTAACATTAGCCTAATAAACAATCAATCTGACTTTAATACCAATATGAATCTCAAATGCACCTGCAAAAAACAGTGGCGAAATGTTATTTGTATTCTCCAGTTCAGACAAATCTTGTGCACTTAAGCTGTGACACAGGGTTAAAAAGAGAGCAGTGGGAGACAGTTTCAAGCTTTATATCCTGGATTTTCAGGTCCAAGAGATAAAACACCTTCATTCTCTTTGCAAATTGTCTCCGCTTACAGACACATCATTGACTCATCAACTGGCATCCCTACCAATCACAGATGCAATTTCCTGTTGTGTGATATATGTTTCCCAGAGTTGTTGTGTTTATCCAGTTGATTGAAAAAAAGGCTCACAATCACCTGGTGCACTCTGTATCTCTGTTGCTTGTTTATGCAGTGATGCTTCTGCTGTACAGTGTTACTGAATCACTTCCTTTATGGTGGGACTTGGGGGATTTAAATTTTTTAGGAGTCAACAGGGTTGATTGCAACCACAGCAATTGTAACCACTGAATGAAAAAGAAAAAGGGTGATTGTGTTGAGAGAATCTCCTACTGCCTCTGATTAAACTCATTCACAATCCAAAAGGACAACTGCCACAGAGAAATAAATTACCTTTTGTCTCCAAGAGTGGAGAAAGGCTGCAAACCAAACCAGCACAAAATGTGACTGTGTCTGTTGTGCACCCGCTCGATTATGTAATTAGCAAGCTGTTGGCATCCATCATTTTCACTGAATGACAAGCAGATGGGCTGGCAACTCAGGAAAATACAGTTATTCTAAGAGGGGAACACGATTCACCTATAAAATGTCATTGTTCTTGTTCAGTGCCTCCAGGATTAGAACCTTTCCACTCCTGACAATGAACAAATACTTTGCTTGACCTTGCAACATATGATAACATAATGCTGTGGACATGTTCATTAAAAAATGAAAAATTGTTGAAAAGGGAACATCTGTACGTAGATAACAAGTTCCACAACTCTCTCAAGCTCACATATGAATACCTATAATATACCAGCTCTTTTCATTTCTAATGCAGGGATGCACACAACAGCAAACAGTATGTTTCCAACTGAGCTATACAAATCCAGGGTCCATCTGGCTGTGGCATCCATCTATTTATAGCATCAAAACCCAACTGTGTCAGACGTCAATAAACTGTTTAAAAGACATTACCAAAAAACAACCCAATCCTTTAACTATATACTGCTATGCTGGTTTTGTCTCTTCCTCTTTTTGTTGTTATGATGTGCTGCTGTTTCCTAACCTTTTGTATCAGGCACACCAGTGGGTCTCTGGTATCTAGATCTGAAGGAACAGCTCAAGGCCATAAAATGTTAAAATCCACTGGCCTAAACCTGTGCCACCAAGACAAATTATTCTACATTTACTGTATTGCACTTGGCAATAATACTGATTCCTGTGCTACTGGCAGTGATCCTGCCACATCAACATATGATCCGTCCCAGGGGAAGTCAATCCCATAATGACTGGCTTTTGGCAACCTGAGCTCTAATTACTTTCATCCACAGAGCACTAAGAAAGATATCACCTTTTAGATTTCAGTGTGTATTACAAATTACCTGTCTCATTTCTAATCCAATCTTACATTAAATTCATGAAATATTAATGTTTTGGATATTCTGTCATTAAAAAGGGATAATGTTTGGCAATGTGCAATTATTATTCAGGTAACATCCAGGGTGAATCCCCTTTGGCTGCAGCCATCACAGATAAAACAAATTTCTTTCTTGGTTTTACTTTGTTACTGAAAATCTCACCCTGTACCTGATTTCCAGTCTCTGCTGCCACTTCCTGGTCATAATCACTATGGTGGACTCATAATCAGTGTGTGTCTGTGTGAGTGCAGATATGGAAAGCTTCTTTTGTTTTCTGGGACTTTCAGATAGGAAATGTTGTACTTTTTACTCCATTACATTTATCAACATTTACTTTGTGGGACTATATATATACAGTCTATAAAATGTAATATACTCTGTTTAAATTACCCCAATTGTGTGAGACACCTGGATCACCCTGTTTTGACTCGTTTTTGCCGGCTCTTCTCAGGACTATCTGGCGTGTAAAGACTGTGCTTGATCTCTATTATACTGCTAGTTTTGCTGCACTTGTTTGGCTGGGTGAAGTTACAACTTTATTATTAGTTCTTGAAATGTGGTAATTGCAGCACAGCTCCACCCAACCACAAACTAATCAGCCAGGATCAGCAGAAAGACGTGTGTGGGTGTGCAGTACCTTCACATAAACTTCATATGAAGTGTTTTTTTTCCCAAATGTGTGAATGCAAGTCATATAATCTCGATTTATCAGACTTGAGTTAACAAATGGATTGCCTGTGAGTTTAACATTAATGACACATGATGACTTCACTTGCACCTGAACCTCATTGAAAAACTTGATATCCTCTCTATTTTATTACAGCTACAGACTCAAATGGGAGAAAGGAGGCAGAGAGAGGAATTTGCAATGTCACAGAAAACCCAGCTGAGGTCAGTGTTTCTCCACCGGGCGACTCAGCGTGGACAGAGATGCCCCCTAAAAACACTACCTGCAACATTGTCTGTATTATTAATCTACCAAAAAAAAAAAAATGCAAATCGCCACTCGTCTTGCAGTCACAGGCAGTGTAGGAAGGAACCCCTCTGTCCTATACATCGATTACAAAAAAATAAAATAAAAATCATACACCTCGTCATGTAAGCTGACAGACTGCACAAAACGACGTGTGTTTGCGCTTTAAATCCCATCCTAACAAAGGGAAAGAGGGGCAGCCAGCAGCGGCTCCGCGGCGCACTGCGGCCCCTTTAAGGCCGCTCTGGAATAATTAATGACGTCGCGCTGTAAACACGACTGACGCTCAGCTGCGTGGCCGAAGCATCCTCCAAGAGCCCGAGACCTCTCCAGGTTCCCGTGTTTATTTCTCGACGGGACCGCTGAAAGGCACTGAAATAACTGCGGTTCACCTCGACTCTCATATGCGGTCTCCGAAACCAAGACGACGGTGCTGCATCTGTCCTACTAAGTGCCATGGCTAGAAAGACGGACATCCCCTCCTCTTACTATGGTGAGTCGGTTCGTCTTTGTTGTAAACGCCAAGATATTTTCCCTGTGTACTGTGTAACGTTATGACAGCGGGGGTATAACGGTGTCTACTTTAGCCCGAATGCTGTTTGACCCCTTACTGTGATTTACAGGGACGTTAGCTAGCTTACATTGTCAGTTAACTATTTAAAGGCTATTTAACGGTTGACATCAAATACGCAGTAACGGTTGAATAACGTTTTATAACGGTTTTGACGTTCGAATAAGTAACGTTAGCCTAACGTCTTTTTTTGTGTGTGTGTGTTTCTTAAATCTGCCTCATGAATTATCCCGAGCGTTAACTCCGGTGGTATAACCTAACCTAATAATCGTTGCCTTGTATTGTTTACCTCGTGTAAAAGTCCTCACAATGAGGAGACTCGTATTATAGCTTAACAATAAGTCTTATTACTTTCCTCCTCCACTTGTCGTCGGTCTTTTGTTGTAACGTTAAACGTCTTCTCGGTAGCTAACTGACGTTAACTTAGTGTGTAACGGTATGACAACAGCACATAAGTTAACGTTATCTGCATTACAGCACCTTCATCTATTCTTCTGAGTTTAACCAATATATCGTTTGGTCTGTCTAACTCAGCCATAGACTGTCCGCAAAATAATTTTTTTCTCCCCCAAAAGCCCAAGATGAGGCCATCAGATTGCTTTGTTTTGCTCTAACATCAGTTACAGTTTAAGACAAAGAAAAGATGAAAGCTAACATTAATCCTCAACATTGAGAAACTGGAATAGAGAATATTTGGTGTTTGCTAATGGACTAGTTTATTGTCAGCTGGTTATTTAAAGGTTGACATTGCAGTAACTGCAACAGATTTATTTTTGTGTTAACGGCTGTTTAACTAACTGGTTACATGAGTGGGCATAATACCCCAGAGTGTTAACGACATATTTTTCACTCTACACTGTATTAAAAATATCCTTAGTTAACTCCTGATGTTCATATGTGCAAAAAAAAAAAAAAATGCTTACATTACAGTAAGAGTAACAACAATCAGTCTTATTTTCTACTTTACTCGTTCACATGGAGGATAATTACCCCATTATACAGCTGCAGTCCAGGTAGTGGAGTTAGTAAGGAAGAATGAAGGCAATGTCCTCTGTTAACAGTGTTTCTAACAAAGGATTCATTGTGTGCAAGTGGCATTTTCGCTGCTTCAGGCGTATGGATATATTTAATCCGTGGGCAGATTCTCTGTCCATTAACGTAGCCTGTTTTAGTAATCACAGTGTTTATCACAGCAATATAATCCTTTGTCACCACCAGATGCCACACGGTGTCTTTCCTCGGAAACAATGAGCAGTTTATACTGGTGATTCTTTTTTTACCATACTGGTGGCTTTGTAGGTCTGATGCCAGTCTTAGTACCTCCCCAGCTGAAGATATTTTTGTTCTCTACTGTATTTAGTAATCTTCAGTATATATATAATAACTAAAACATAAATATTTAGTGCTTCTTCTTTCACAGTGGCATTCTTGCTGTCAGTGTACACAGCTACTCTCAGGCTACTACTGTACAAGACTATCATGGGATGGGAAACTAACTTGCTATCTAAACCCAGACTAAATGATCCACCACACTGACAGGGCGACTAATGGTCCCCTTTCCGTGAAACATTTCTTAGCAACATTAAAAAATGAATGTATTAAAGTTATTTTTATGTGGCTGTAGTCAGGGTGTAACTTCAAGCATATCGACAGTGACCCAATATCATATATTCACAAAAATCCAAAGTTATGTTATTACATATATGAGCTAATCTTTCCTTCCCCAGCTATAATGCAGAAGTTTGTATAATTACTAACTTTTCCATGTCACTCTTGTCAGTATCAGCACTTACAAATACATCATGTCATCCATCTCTGTCCAAGTCGTAAATAATAATTACACCCAAGATGACAGTCAGGGCGGCTTGATCCTTGGATACAGCGGCTGTGCAGTTTTACAGTGACACAGGCATTTTCAAGTCTGCTCCTGACGGCTTTTGATGGGGAAATGCTACTGTGTCTTTCTGGTTATTTCCCCACATGCTGACCCCTGTGTGTCCCACAGACCTCATGACTACAGCACTCTGCCAATCACGTCTGCAGCCTGTCAGCTGTAGTTGATTCTCACTGCTCTCTGCAGACATGCAGCTCACCATTGGGGCCTTCACATCCTATCACTCCCTGTTCAGAAGTTCAAGCTGGTACTTTACAGTGTACTATAAACCCGACGTTAGAGATTGTGTGTAAAGTGTTGTAGGTAAACAGCTACAGAGCCTGTGTAATATTATTTTTATATACATTATTTAGATACAGTGAATGTGCATCATTACAGAAGTTAATATATGTATTAGCTTCTGTATACATATACTTTCATTATCTTCTCTTGCTTCAACTAAAGTGCTTCCCTCCAGAGAATTGCATAAAATATAGTGAGACAGTTTAATTAAGGAACATAATTTTGCCCTAACAGCGTCCAACGGCCTAGCTAGTGGAGCATGGGATGGAGCTATGGTGCCTCACTATGTTTAGGTCAGCTGCTTTATGTTATTGGCTCCCTGGTGCTTCGGTTCCATCAGCTAGCTTGGCGAAAGAGTATTTTGGTCTCACAATTGAGGAGAGAACGACAAGACAAATTTCACATCAGCATACTCTTCCCCCGCAACTAATGTTTCACACGCTGCGTTTGTTGAACTGTGGACTAAATGTGGAGTGCAGAGCAGATAAAATCACATTTGCTGTTGCTGGTAATGTACCCAGCATTTCTGGCTTTCGTTAGTGTTTTATTTCTCTTATTCCAAAAGAATGGATGATTCTGGCCAACATATTATTTTCAGTTTAGCTAGTTGGATAGATCTTCTAGGTCCATCTATCTGAACTGTGAGTATATTGATTCTGATGTCAGCTTTGCAGAAAGAAAAAGGGGTTTCTTCTAGACTTGTCACATTGCTGTAACACTCAATTGTCGCACAGGAAGAAAATAGAAAAAAACACCAGTTTCTAGCCAGAAGGCATGCTTTGTGGAAGAAGTGCTAGTGTTCTCGCTTTTTTTTTTCTCAACAGGAAAACCTCCTACTCTCTGGAAAGTTATGAGTATACATTTCTGGGAAACTTGGAAATCATTAACTGAAGCAGAGGTAGATAAGGCGGGATGAGGGACTGCCATGATGCCATTGCACGATAACATTGATTTATTACCTAGCCCTAATATAAAGTTTTAATAAACATAAATTGTATGCGCTGTCATTAAAGAAAGAAGCAAAAACACTTAAGAAAGCATCAGTGAGCCATGTTTTAGCAGCTGGTCAAACAACCTGCCATCCCATCATTCATGTTCAGCAGTTCTCCACTTGCTCTACATCCCAGATTCAAATGTACCCTTGTGGCTAGTATATTAATGTTTCTCACTATGTAGCAGGTGTTCAGTGGTTTTATACTGTACTGCTGAAATGTTCAGTCAGTCAGGAAAGTAGAAAAATTGCTCATAATCATTCTGACAGGTTTGTAAGTAACAATTTAGATATGAGTTCCATTCACCACAGAAAGTGTTGAGTCTGGCACACTGTTAATTAACAAATTTCTCGCATGGGCAGCTTCCCTAAACGCTGCATTTTTATACTGAGTCAATGCAGAGTCTTGACAGAAAGCTGAGAGCCTTAGTTTAGAATCACACATTCAAAACCTCTTCCTGTAAAATTGCAGTCAGACAGGGTTATGGCTCAAATGGCCCATTTTGCACCTAAGACTAAGTGTTATTATGGGCTTTTTAAGTGTCACTGTCCTCTTCAAATACTCATCTCAGATGAAGACTGATGCTCACTCTGCAGTGCTCCTACATATTTTGTTAGTCTTTATGGCATTTCAGCTCATTATTTTTAACAAGGTTATGTTCTTTTGCTACTAATTTCATGTGTCTCTTCTCAAGAGATAGCTGTGTCGGTGCCTGGAAGTTTGAAGTATATTATTCACACTAATGATAGGGTGAGTCAGTAAATAATTTCAGAGATTCACTTCTGCACAGTGGCAAGCGTTGGATGGTTATTTGTTCGAGTCTGTGAAAATGGGACATTTAGCTGTGAAGTGGCTGCCTAGGTGACAGCAAGGGGACTTTAAATTTCCAATTTGCAGTACAAATATAGTCAGTGTTTGTTTGTGACTAGAAGGCCAAGTGACATTGACAGTGATTTATAAAAACACAACCCAAAGATACATTGGAAAATGAGTGAGAGACACAGCTATGTTCATGCTAGACACGTAGGTTTTGAGTCTCGGGTGCACAGTGTGACTTAAAATGGCTTTTGATCGGTCTAATGTGCAGCTAGCTTTTGTAACAAATGAATTATTATCTTAAGAACAAAAGAGACATGGTGTTTTGATGTTGTGAACATGCTTTTTTGCACAGGTGAGGTCTGCATTGCACCTTGCAGGTTTGTCTATATCAGGGTTTTAGTGGCTTTGGCGCGGATCCAAGTTTGATGTGTGCAGACTGCTGAAAGGCAGAGGTTAAGAGGATTCCCTGTTGGAGAACACAGGCAGTGAAGTGATATTAATATTGGCCAAATCAAGACATTGGCCTTCCCTTAGGGTGTAGAAATTAATTGTACTCCTACCTAAAAGAGAGTTTTACCTGGTTTAGGAAATCTAGTTTGTATAACCATGAATTAAGATTCACAATCTGTGATGTACTGTGACACACGCAGAAAGACACTTCATTAGCAGTTTTCTTATATTAAATCTGGACAGTATCTGGAGAGTCAGGTTGGGACATTGTCCACAGTTGCCCTTTTACACATGTAGCACACAACAGGAGACTGTCCATGTCAGACACGTTCTCACCTACTGGAAAATCTCTTTATGGTTTAGGTGAGGGTTGGCGCCTGGGTAAAACGAGGACTCATCCTCACTCACTATGGTACGCATTATGATGCCAGTTAGGAAAAAAATGTTTGGAGTGTTTTTATGTTTTAAAATAGACTAAATAAACA